AAATAATAAAATGATAACGAAAACAGACAGTGAGCCTGATGTCGTCATCGTTATTGAGAGTATCAGTCCAAGTGTTTTATCACTACCATTATCACCATCACGGCAATAAATAGACTTTAATTATCATCGTCAGAGCATAATAATCTACTAACCTATTCACATATCACATGTGTGCCAACACTCCTCTCACTCAAGTCATCATCATCACTGCCATTCAAGAAAAAAAGTCAACACGTTAATAAAAAATTACTGACGCCTCTAGGCCTGCCACCAGTAGCAGCAGCAGCAGCAGACCTTGCCGCCATCTGGTCAGCTATTGGCATGTGAGCGTCTGATGAAGCTCTGTTTCTAAACATCTCAACAAATTCTTGCGGGCCAACGGCTTGGGCATCTCTCGGCCCAAATGTGATGGACTTCCTGTGACTCATTGACATGTGCCTCGTTTCTTTGGTGTGTGTGTGTGTGTGTCTTGTGTCTGTGCGAGTGTGTTTTTGTTTTTGTATGGGAATGTCCGTGACTGCGTGTTTATGAGTACATACGCTACCGAATTTTCAAGTCTACATTATGAAGAACACCACAAAAAGAGATAAGAACAGAAGAAACTTGAAAGCAGAGTCGAAATCATGATAAGAACACATGTATAAAGAAAATCGTCAAAACTAACTATTAACAGCCGAACTGATCCCAGCATTCCCACCGTTCCCAGTGTGGGTGTGATAAATATTTCCGTAGAGGACTCTCGGTACGGACGAGGCGCCAAGATTCACGTTGCCACCGATGTAGTCGGAGGTGCTGTGGCGATCGGGATTGCCTTTGATTGGTTTGGAGGTCCCCGCCTCGTATGTACTACTGGTCTGAACTCTGATTGGTCGATAAGGGCAAAAATAATAATAATAATAATATTAATAATATTAATAAGAAGAAGAAAAAAAATTATGAAGACAATTTGACAAACGTTTTAAAATTCAGTTAGTTGGTCAGTAAGTCAGTCAGTCAGTTGATAGTTCATTAGCTGGTCAGTTGTTTGTTGGTTAGTTAGTCAGTCTGGTCAGTTAGCCAGATTTTAATTGTTCAGTCAGTCACTTACATACTTAAGTAAAATGTTATTTATATAACTTTAGTTTTAGTACGTTGGGATGTGATGATTGCATTAACACCTCCCAGAAACAATTTAACTGCGAGTACAAATATAAAAATAATAATGGATCCAAGAATTTTCCATAATAATAAGTTAGCCTCAATCAAGAATGAATGATATCATAAACTGTTTGTGCTGTTAAAAAAATCTACCTTTGTTTGTCATTTATAAATTAAGTTGTGACGATGACGATGATGATGATGGGCTGAACGAATCATTTTACAATTAGAAGTGTTTATACTTTGATGATCAGCAAGCGAATGAATGAATAAACAAGTAAATAAATGAATGAATGAATGAAGAAATGAAAGAACGAGTGAATGAATGAATAAATACACATCATATTTCAGCAAATTTTAACAGTGAAAAAAATCTTTCACTTCAAACAACCAGCTGCATAAATATGGAAAATTTTGAATCACGAAACCATTTGAATAAAAATTAAATTAATAACAGACTGAAATGCACATCTTTTGAAAAAAAAAATCAATTGTTAAGTCTGAAACACACACACACACACACACACACACACACACACACACACACACACACACACAAAGCTTGATGAAAAATATTAATAAAAAAGGGTTTTCAATATCATCATTTGAAAACTGATAAACTATTTGTACTATTGATTTCATAACCAAACTTCCTTCTGCTGTTAATTACTTTTTATAATTTATCAATCAAGCCAGCAGCAACATGTGCCACACCGCTTTGCTAAATAGATCCTATATTTATGTTCACACATAAAAACAAACATCCGTGAACATATATAAACATAAAAAATAGAAAGATAAACGTGCAAAGCTCATAAACGAACAAAGACACATTTAAACATGCATAAGCGTAAGCATGCCGGCTAAGAAACATACACACAAACACATAATCAAACCTGGATACAAACAACTACACATACAAAAAAATAAAGAGAGGCGAAGACACCAGCAGAAAAAAGGCAGAGAGACAAAGAACGAACTTTAACGAAGCACTCCTCCTGGCTACCTCATGCTCTCCCTCAACTAATTTCGTGTGAACAGGATTCTCCAGGGATTTCGTCTTATTCTTACCGGACGATCCGAAAAAAAGATTCCGGATCTTGGACCCCCCACTGCTGCTACTGTTAGAAGATGAATTATTAGAATTAGGATTGTGGATTGGTGTAATTGGAGCCACTGGTGCGCTGCGTTCATTGGAAGCTGTCATATTAATGTAGCAGGAGTAGCCGGGACTGTTACTACCGACTGACTTGTGCCTCTTTCTGAAAAAATTTCTGAAGCCAGACGACGTCGACAACGGCTCTGGTGGCTCTGGTAGAGATGGCAGTTGCGTCTGTTGCTGCTGCTGCTGGTAGTGGTTGTT